AGTACATACTATCCGTGCTGTATACTGTTAGTACCTACTATTCAGTATGCACACACAGTAGGCAGATATTTGTGCCTACTTCTTCTGATTCATTCAGTATGAAAGTGACGTCATTTACGTTTCCCGAACCGGCCGCATTCACCCGTTTTTCTTTTTTTTTGTTTTTGTTTAGCTTTATTCAAGAAGAGTAATGCACATATACAGTCAGGTAAACAAAACAATATCACAATGTAAATCAAGTAAAAGACAGATTAAATAACTAAATAACATACAGTACATAAAGAAAAGTACAAATGAAAGACAGTAATATGCAGAATATGAAGTAAACCAATACAGACACATTTAAATAGTTAAATCATTATTTAAATAGAGGGAGAAAGGTTTTATAGTAATGCAGATATTTGTTATATTTTCTGTTGTTAATTTAAAGTAGTGATTTCAGTCGGGACTTTAATTCTAGATTAAAAATTGATTAAATTAATCCACGCTCGTTTGTTTTGATTTGGAGGCGGACGTGACGATTTACGTTTAATTTCGCACAGCATTGTAAAATACAATTCATTTCCTGAAAGCACACATCCGATCCATACTGCATAAAACCCGGAAGTTAGTATCCATACTGGAATGTTCAGTATACTGCGCGGACCCAAAAAATGCATACTGAATGACCATGAAAGTTCAGTATACTGAAACTCCTACTGAATAGTACGTACTGCATACTGAACTGTGACAATTCGGAAAGGGCCTCAGAGACCATCAGACTCCATGACACAGAGACCATCAGACTTCATGACACAGAGACCATCAGACTCCAACACACAGAGACTATCAGACTTCAGATACAAGGACCATCAGACTCAGAGACCATCAGACTCAGGGACACACAGAACATACAACTCAGAGACCATCAGACACAGAGACCATCTGACTCAGTAACTCAGAGACCATCAGACTCGCTGACACAAAGACCATCAGACTCAGGGACACATTTGACATACAACTCAGAGACCATCAGACTCAGGGACACACAGAACATACAACTCAGAGACCATCAGACACAGAGACCATCTGACTCAGTAACTCAGAGACCATCAGACTCGCTGACACAAAGACCATCAGACTCAGAGACCATCAGACTCCATGACACAGAGACCATCAGACTCAGTGACTCAGAGTGCATCAGACTCAGTGACACAGAGACCATCAGACTCCATGACACAGAGACTATCAGACTCCATGACTCAGAGAGCATCAGACTCAGTGACACAGAGACCATCAGACTCCATGACACAGAGACTATCAGACTCCATGACTCAGAGAGCATCAGACTTCATGACACAGAGACCATCAGAGACCATCAGACTCCATGACTCAGAGAGCATCAGACAAAGTAACTCAGAGAGCATCAGACTCAGTGACACAGAGACCATCAGACTCCATGACACAGAGACTATCAGACTCCATGACTCAGAGAGCATCAGACTTCATGACACAGAGACCATCAGAGACCATCAGACTCCATGACTCAGAGAGCATCAGACTTAATGACTCAGAGAGCATCAGACTCAGTGACACAGAGAGCATCAGACTCAGTGACACAGAGAGCATCAGACTCAGTGACACAGAGAGCATCAGACTCAGTGACACAGAGAGCATCAGACTCAGTGACACAGAGACCATCAGACTCAGTGACACAGAGACCATCAGACTCAGTGACACAGAGACCATCAGACTCCATGACACAAAGACCATCAGACTCCATGACTCAGAGAGCATCAGACTTCATGACTCAGAGAGCATCAGACTCAGTGACTCAGAGACCATCAGACTCAGTGACACAGAGACCATCAGACTCAGTGACTCAGAGACCATCAAACTCCATGACTCAGAGAACATCAGACTCAGTGACACAGAGACCATCAGACTCAGTGACTCAGAGAGCAGCATAAACATCGTTCATGTGTTGTTTCAGGTCTCAAACACCCCAAACAAACACTTGTGTGGTCATCAATCAGACACACTGAGCGATGACGGTTTGAGGGCCCACATGTGTGACGGACACGTGTGATGGACCATATTTGAAACATTTGTCTGTTCATCTGTCAGGAGATTCAGTGTTCATTGTGGAGCTGAGGGTTCAATATGAATGTGCTGGTGTTTGAACATGAGCAGTCGAGGATATCTCTCTCTCGCTCTCACACACACACACTCATCTGCTCAGTGTACATGATAGAAGTGAAGTCTCAGGTAATGGTGAATATTCACACGATGATACACAGGGTTCCCATCATGAAGCTGCTTCATTTATTTTGTGACACATGAACAGGTGGAGACTTTTGACCTCTTTTATCATACAAATGTTGGCTGTGTCCGTATAAATCATGGACATCACTTATATTGAAGAAATAAAGGGATTTTAAAGGATGTTTCTAAGTTAGTTTAAAAGTCACAGCAGGGAGTCCAGCTGATCCTGTCCCAGGTGTATCTATCTCATGAGTCTTAGGTCTCTAAGGTGTCTAAGGTGTATATATCTCATGTGTCTCAGGCATCTAAGGTGTCTCAGGCATCTAAGGTGTCTCAGGTATCTAAGGTGTCTCATGTGTATCTGTCTCATGTGTCTCGTGTATATATCTCATGTGTCTAAGGTGTCTCAGGTATCTAAGGTGTCTCATGTGTATCTATCTCATGTGTATCTCAGGTGTCTAAGGTGTCTCAGGTATCTAAGATGTCTCGTGTATCTATCTCATGTGTATATATCTCATGTGTCTCAGGTATCTAAGGTGTCTCATGTGTATCTATCTCATGTGTCCAAGGTGTCTCAGGTGTCTCGTGTATCTATTTCATGTGTCTCATGTGTATAAGGTATCTAAGGTGTCTCATGTGTATCTATCTCATGTGTCTAAGGTATCTAATAGGGGTGTAAAGGTACACGTACTCAGACCGGACCGTTTTGGTACGCGCGGAACAGAAGTTCTTTGATCTGTGTTCCCACACGGACCGTAAAGTGGAAGCAAACTTCAGTGTGAAGGAAGGCTGCGGCCGTGGATATGGGACACAACTTTTAGTTAGTAACTTGTAAAAAAGTTCAAACATAAACTGTGCAAACTGTGCAGATTACTAGTTCCTCGAGTCCTGTCGGTTTGGACAGTTGCATATAGCCGGGATGGAGTTCTTTTTACGGACTTACTCTTAAGTTTCGTTTTCATTTTCAGCGATGATCCCGCTCTAACAGCACTACGGCGTAAAAGGGGAGGGGGAGACGCTTCTGTGTGGGAGCATAACCTGTAGCATGATAGAATGAACACCCTCCCTCCCCAACAGAAAACCTTTTGCTAGTAATTCTGAACGGGCCAAAGCCACAACAAATGCCATTGAAGTTCTTATATCGACAGAGGGAAATATTAATAGTTCTGCGATGAAACTATACTGTCCCAGATGTGATTAGCTTTATAATGTGCTCAAAGGGCATTCAAAAAAGTGTTGCCTTCATAAACCAAAAGGTGTCAGTGGAATTAAAAATAAATATTTTTACATATAGGCTATATTAATTACTTCATTTCATTCTAAAATATTTTATTTAATTCATATCTTTTATTTATTGGAGACTCTTTTGGTTGAATGATGCAGCATAAGTTTATTATTATTATTTTTTTAAATGTTTAATTTAAAAAGTAACCTGAGCAGGTATACAAGTCTGTACTGTCGATGTTGCACTTAGCCCAATGTGTAAAAGGGAAATTCTAAATGCTCCCAATAAAGAAAAAAAAAAGTGTTGCATCAGGTCCCTTTGCCGTACCGAAAATGTACCGAACCGAAGCTTCAAAACTTGGAACCATACCGAACCAAAATTTTTGTGTACCGTTACACCCCTAGTATCTAAGGTGTCTCAGGTGTATCTATCTCATGTGTATATATCTCATGTGTCTAAGGTATCTAAGGTGTCTCTATCTCATGTGTCTCAGGTATCTAAGGTGTCTCATGTGTATATATCTCATGTGTCTCAGGTATCTAAGGTGTCACATGTGTATCTATCTCATGTGTCTTTATCTCGTGTCTCAGGTATCTAAAGTGTCTCTAGCTCATGTGTCTCGGGTATCTAAAGTGTCTCATGTGTATCTATCTCGTGTCTTATGTGTCTCAGGTGTCTCATGTGTATATATCTTATGTGTCTTGGGTATCTAAGGTGTCTCATGTGTATATATCTCGTGTCTCAGGTGTCTGAGGTGACTTAGGTATATAAGGTGTCTCATGTGTATCTATCTCACGTGTCTCGTGTATATATCTCATGTGTCTCGGGTATCTAAGGTGTCTCATGTGTATACATCTCATGTGTCTCAGGTGTCTTGTGTGTCTCATATGTTTGAAGTGTGGAAAGTGTCTCATGTTACTCAGGTTTGTCATGTGTCTCTTGTGTCTAGTATTCCTCGTATGTTTAAAGTGTGTCAGGTGTCTCATGTGTCAAAGGTGTCTCAGGTGACTCATGTGTCTCAATCTCATGTGTCTGAGGTGTCTTGTGTATTTCTTGTTTGAAGTATGTCAGGTGTCTCTGTGTCAGGCCTGCCTGTGACTCTATCGGAGGCCTGGCTACGAGTCTATCAGAGGCCTAGCTGTGAGTCTATCGGTGGCCTGGCTGTGAGTCGATCAGAGGCCTAGCTGTGAGTCTATCGGTGGCCTGGCTGTGAGTCTATCAGAGACCTGGCTGTGACTCTATCGGAGACCTGGCTGTGACTCTAACATGATATTACTGACACAGTGAATGAGAGGTGGGAACCCTGGTTAGAAGATAATGTCAGGTAGTGTTAGAAAAGTAAGAGTTCAAAGCATATGGGTAAACAATACAAATTCAATTATTAGAAATAAACACATTAACTTGGATGCTGGAGGAGCATGTGGAAAAAAACAAAACAAAAACAACAACCCAAGGTCCAAAAAGAACAGATTGAAGACATGCAGACAAAAGGGAGGTGAGGTGGAGAAATACTTGAAAGAAGCAGACGTACCATTAGTCGGATACTTTGCAAACGACACAGAAAATCGTTTTACTGCCGGCATAGACAACAACTCTGAGGAAATAAAACAAAAATCACTGGAGTTACTAGGAGTCACAGTGACTGTCTGTCTGTCATGTTTGATCTTCTCCCTGCTCTGATCACTTTGTGCCTGAAGCTTCTGGTAACACTCACATACGTGAACACGTTTTAAAGATGGCTGTGGGGCAACACATGGTGGGACATCTTCTCATGACAAAGTGAGGTGACATGTTGAAATTAAAAAAACGTCAAAACAAATATCAAACCTGAGAAACCAACCAGACCTGTGCCTTCCTGTCCTCTAACTGAACGAGCTCATGAACAACACGCCACGGCCATGAACCACCTGAGCAGCATTAAAGAGCTCCATCAGGGCAGAAAATAAAACGAGCGTCCTCACAGAGGCACATGCACTGAAACACAGCGATATGAACCACTGCATCACCACAAGCTTCATGTGAGCTGGAACAAGATGGACGACACAGACCACAGCATGTGACTGTATGATACCACAGTGACACCTAGTGGACAACATCAGCACAGACGTCAATGTCAGCGCCATGTTTGGATGCAACTTTAAGCCCTAGACATCATAAACATAAATAATGACTGAAAAAACAACGGGACGTCAAAACCTGTCAGAGGAGAAATATATATTTATATAAGTGTGATCAAATATTCAATCTGTGATCTGTTTTCTGTTTCCTCAGACCAGTGAAGGATGGTCTGAGAAACAGAATCTATTCAACTTTGATATGATGGTTAGTAAACATTAAAAACATTGTGGCAGTTTGATACCATGGCAACTAAAATACAAGTCCTAGACACCCAGCAATAGACAATGTATTGTTTTTAATGATTAAACACTACAGGCAAACTCCTGTACACCATCGAAACTGCACAAAAACATCAGCAACAGGAAATATTGACAAATGTTGGATAAAGACAGGCAATGTTAGCCATTTGCAAAAATGCTGTGACAAACATTGTTGAACGTCTTGGTGCAATTTCAAGTGTGTGCAGGAGTCTTCCTGCAATTTTTGTTGCATCCATTCCTCTCCTAAACCAATGTTTTTTGTGCAAAACAGAAACTTTGCAGACGTTTGGCTGCATTCTTTGTTCATCGAGAAGTCAAAAATATCAAACACTGAGTGAACACATGCATGACGCACGCTCACATTGCTAATGTCTTAGTGCTGTCTCGACTGTGTGCATTCTTCATTGCACTCGTTTCTCTCCGACACACAACTGTTGCAAATGTTCTTGGACATTCTTATAAACCATCGTATGTGTATGGTATAAAAACACGGTTAACATATTTGAAGGTGTCATAACGGACGCAAACTGACTTCAGGACACGATATGTTCATGATCTGTTTATCTTAAATCAGTGCTTTTCCCTCGGTGTAGTTTGGCTGTAGAGAGTGATGTCACAGCTGTTTATGGTTTAAAACGTAAAGGTCTCTCTCTGCAGGGATCCATTGTGTCATGTTGTCACACACTTTGAATAACTACGGGAGCCTGTCAGGGACAGAAACAACTTTCTTTCTGGATTATAAGCAGCTATAAAAGTCGGGTTGAGTGACTGCTCATATCTTGGACTGTCATGTTAGATCATAAAGGGTTAAAAAATGGCTGCTGACATCTTTCTAGCTCTGACAAACACTTCAATGTTTTTGTGATTGCTTTAAAGGGTTAACAGGAAACAGTCAGTAAGAGGCTGAAATCAAGCCGAGCACCTTGATAAGCAGACGAGGAGCGTGTCTGTCTGACTTCTTCTACAGAATCAAGAGGAAGTGACAGAAAGAGAGTATCACAGATGGAACAGGATGCTCAGTGCCGCCATGATGATGAACACAAACACATGGGAGGGTCATGACTGTGATGATGATGATGGGGGGGGGGGGCAGGTAACAGAAATGTTCACGTCATTATACATGCACAGGTCTGAACAAACATCATAAGAAGCTTCCAGAAACATGTGAGACTGACGGAGACAAAGGAGCTGTCCTGCACTGTGAGATCTGTGCTGCACACTTTTACTGATTACTATCCATCGATAACTTTGCTAACATGAACCACACACATCACTGCCCCTCCATACACAGCTCAGGAACACATGTAGAGGAGTCTGTCTCTACATGTAAAGGTCATGTAGAGACAGACTCAGAGACAAACTTAGAGACCGCTACATGTAGAGACAGACTCAGAGACTGCTACATGTAGAGACAGACTCAGAGACCGCTACATGTAGAGACAGACTCAGAGACTGCTACATGTAAAGACAGACTCAGAGACCGCCACATGTAGAGACAGACTCAGAGACAGCTACATGTAGAGACAGACTCAGAGACTGCTACATGTAGAGACAGACTCAGAGACCGCCACATGTAGCGACAGACTCAGAGACCACCACATGTAGAGACAGACTCAGAGACCGCTAAATGTAGAGACAGACTCAGAGACAGACTCAGAGACCGCTACATGTAGAGACAGACTCAGAGACCGCTACATGTAGAGACAGACTCAGAGACAGACTCAGAGACCGCTACATGTGGAGACAGACTCAGAGACCGCTACATGTAGAGACAGACTCAGAGACCGCTACATGTGGAGACAGACTCAGAGACAGACTCAGAGACTGCTACATGTAGAGACAGACTCAGAGACCGCTATATGTGGAGACAGACTCAAAGACCGCTACATGTGGAGACAGACTCAGAGACCGCTACATGTGGAGACAGACTCAGAGACCGCTACATGTGGAGACAGACTCAGAGACCGCTACAGGCTACACCTGTGTGAACAGGTGTTCACTCTAAGACTCCCTGAAGATGATCTTTCTATCACGTCTCCTGTCCTTGCTTCACCACAGACTGTAAATAAGGAGTGGATGATACCAGCAGATCATACTGGACACAGGACCATCTTGTTATTCTCGAGACAGACCATATAAGGACAAGAGGGAGGAGCTGGAGAGGAGCATGTCCTTATATGGTCACTTCTGGTTAAGTGCTAATCTTCACACAGACTATAAAAATAAAACTGGTCCTCAGAGGGTCTTATAGGCCCAGCTGAGCAAGTCTCAAGTCATCAGTGTAGTGGCTCAGAGTCTTGCTCAGAGTCTGGCTAAGTCTGCGTTGTGAAAAAAGAACAGAAAAGATGGCTTTGGGGTCCAGAATGACCATGGCCCTCTTATGAACATGATATTCAGAGCCTCTCATTCCCACTGTTCTGATGCTGCTATCTGACTCCTGTAACCATAGTAACCCTGTCTACAGCTCCGTCAGTCTGCTAAAGCTCTTTATATGTAACATGTGGGGCCTGTGATATAATGTGGCCCTGTGCAGCTTGGTGAAGAGCGCCGTCTCAAACACGTACCGTCTTTGTAGGACAGACTGCCGGCGGAGAATTTTTTGCGATGTGCACGTGCGTAGTCCTGCAGGTTAGGGGCGCTAGAGGACCCACCTAGGACAGTGGTGCTGAAGAGGCCGGCACACTGAGAGCCTGCGGGGGGGGGGGGGGGGGGGGGGGGGGCGGGGGCGGTTAGTGACCTCTAATTATCATGCTGTTACTCAAACACACAATAAGAAAGAGAGAGAGAGAGAGAGACAGAGACAGGAGACCACGCAACATCATCTCAGTGTGTGTGAGTGTGAGTCTGTGTGCGTGTGAGTGTCTGTGTGTGAGTGAGAGTGTGAGTGTGCGTGTGCGAGTGGGTGTGTGTGTGCGAGTGTGTAAGTGAGAGTGTGAGTGTAAGTGTGTGTGTGTATGTGTGTGGGTGTGTGTGTGAGCGCTCATCACAGGAGGACACACACTTTTTAAAGACTATAATGAGAAATTAGCCTTTCATAGAGTCGTATCAGGTCTCGACCGTCTTGTTATACGTTACATATAAACAGGTTCTGTGTCCAGTAAACATCCTGTGCTTCACATTTATTTTCACTTATTGGTGCACTTCATTTCCCAAAATGCTTTTCAACATTACTTTGTCGGGCGGGTTAAGAGCAAAGACTGTATATTAAGATGGACGGAGCAACAGCTGGTCTCCATGCTGGACATGCTGTCTCACCCTTACCTTCAGTCAACCTAACAACAGGCTGAGAGCTGGAGCTGAGGCGGGTTTTAAACCTCCTGACAAACCATTACACCGCGCCCACCTGTCAATTAGGTCAGCTACACGCCTTATTGTGAATAACTCTTATCCTTCATCAAATCAAAACTGATGAGTCATCAAAACATTCACCCCCCCCCCATACAGTGTGTGTCCATCGAGACATGAGCTAATCAGACCTATTTGGTTTTTTGAACCAGGATGTGAACATGTTAATCTCTGCTGTAAAAACAGGCTTTTTAGAATGGGTGTGTATATGACTTCCTGTGCTTCTGCAGCCAGCCTCTAGTGGACACTGCAGGATGTTACACTTCAGAGGTTGCTGCTTGGGTTTGACCAGCCTCCTTCTGTGCATTGCTGTTGGGCTGTTTTTTTTGTTTCATTTAATTGCACACATTGACAGTGAAGTATCTTTTTAATCTGTGCTGGCTCCAGATCACCAGAGCATTATGTCAGCCCCTGTCCTGGAGGATATTCTGGGTTCAATTCGGTACGACTTAGAGAAACAGAGAAGCGTCGTCCATTTTAATATACAGTCGATGCTAAAGAGAGATCTGTCCTGATGTCTTTTCTACGTTTGATCGGTAAGTTTAAATATATTATAAACACAGATGGTTAAAACAAACTGACACACACACAGATCAAACTTCAGGGTGTGTTTGAACATCTGCTTCATCAGGATGACAATGAGGAGGGCGGAATCACAGAGAGAGGAGGGCGTAGAGCTAATTAAAGGTTATTACTCTGAAGAAGTCAAAATCATCATCAGGGTCAATAAAGAGAATATAATGGAGTATGAAGCACACAGCTCTTAGAGGAGACCATTTAAGATCTCTGACAAAGATTCTTCACTTTTCATTCGAAGTGCAAAAAGAGAAGAACAAGAGTGATAAACTGTGGCATAGAGAAACAGGTGCTGACCTTTAAAAGTCTTTACATTTAACAATCAGGTTGTTCATCTACACTCTAATGTCGTTCTGAATAACACTCTAACGTCTGAGTTATGATAAACAGACTTAAATGAGGGAGAGTCACCCCCTCCCTGCCCCCATCATCCACACAAACACACAGGGTAACCATGGAAACAAGTTGTAACAACACCTACCTAATCCACTTTGTTTCATCTCCGGAGACTGACGCGAGCAGAGCGAGAAGAGACGATAGCTGCCCACCTTAGAGGAGGAGGTCTCTGACAGAACCTGAACACACACGCACACGCACACGCACACACACACACACACACACACACACAAACACACAAACACGCACTATTGTTAGGTGTTTTCATGTCAGTCTGAGGACAGGTGTTTCAGTCTGTGGACAGGTGTTTCAGTCTGAGGACAGGTGTTTCAGTCTGAGGACAGGTGTTTCAGTCTGTGGACAGGTGTTTCAGTCTGTGGACAGGTGTTTCAGTCTGAGGACAGGTGGTTCAGTGTGTGAACAGGTGTTTCAGTGTGTGGACAGGTGTTTCAGTGTGTGGACAGGTGGACAGGTGTTTCAGTCTGAAGACAGGTGTTTGAGTCTGAGGACAGGTGTTTCAGTGTGTGGACAGGTGTTTCAGTGTGTGGACAGATGGACAGGCGTTTCAATCTGAGGACAGGTGTTTTAGTCTTAGGACAGGTGTTTCAGTGTGTGGACAGGTGTTTCAGTCTGAGGAGAGGTGTTTCAGTCTGAGGACAGGTGGTTCAATCTGAGGACAGGTGTTTCAGTCTGTGGACAGGTGTTTCAGCGTGTGGACAGGTGTTTCAGTCTGAGGAGAGGTATTTCAGTGTGTGGACAGGTGTTTCAGTCTGAGGACAGGTGCACAGTGCTTCACCTCCATGGATCCTGTCTTGTGGTTGCGTATGAGCGGGGACCTTCTCTGGATGGTGATTGGCTCAGACAGTGGCACGGCATGGTCCGTCTCGTCTCGTGATAGGTCTTCCAGGCTGCCAGGGTCGGTCTGTTTCTGTCCGTTCTTCAGGAGAAGAAGAAGAAGTAAGGCTGTGTGCGTTGCTGTGTGCAGAACAAACAAACACCATGCAGGTGCTCGCTGCGACTCTACCTGTCGAGCCATCTCCGCTGAGGCTGGCCTGAAGCCGAAACCTGTGGGGGCGTTCTCCTCCTCCTCCACACCTTTAACACCAGGACTGAAGTGAAGCTCCACGTGGAAACGTTCCTCTGAGGACGGCTCCTACACAGAACAACACAACACTTGTTAGCAAGAAGTCAGTGCTGTTAGAGCATAAACCATGACTTATCTCAACACTTCATCACGATTTAACTGATCAGTTAACCACGATTCATTGCTGAACCAACCGTTTATCACGATTCATCGCTGAACCAACCGTTTATCACTGTTGGGGTTTTATCAAGTCAAATTTGGTTATATTCTTTAATAATTATATTTAATTATTATTAATATAAATAACAATATCATCAACTATGTTTAATCAACTCGGGGGCACCACTCCCAATCAGGGAAATATAACCAAAAATCAGTCTCAAATTAGTTACTTAATTACTAATATTATTAATAATTAATAACCTTTATTTAATAAATTGAAGGCGTGAAATCCGTACACAAAGCCCTCGCACCCAGCTTATATCACAATGCAAATACACCAGAAATGACAAACAACTGCTCTCTTAAATTATAACAGAATTTATTTAACAAAGCCACATGAAGTCAATCAATGAAACTCAATCAAACAAATAACTATTACAAACTAATCTAAGCAAACAAGATATCTACAAACAGGGTGGGCGGCTGTAGCTCAGTTGGTAGAGTTGTGGTCAAACCGCTCTACATCCTTTGCCATAGATTCAATGAGCCTTGTGCGCATTCTTTGATCTCTGGGTAAAAGGGAGCCATCCGAGTCATCTGAGGTTTTGATATTTCTCAGCTGTGAATCATGCGATGGGAACCTACAGGTAGCAGGAGGGGGCGTGGTGTTATCTCTGCTATGAAGTGACTTGTGGGGCATTTCCACGTGGCGGGGCTTCATGGTCTGGAGAGGTGGGACGGTATTTATCCCGAACACCCAGACTATTTACAGGGTCGTTATAGGAGGAGCGCGCCCTTGTGCCGTGGTCGACTTGGCGGCCCTTTGTCCTTTCCTCCAGGTCTTGCAACATGTCTGTCTCCCTCCTCCAGGAACTTGGTTCAGTATCCCATCCTTCATCTGAGGCTTCCCTAAGCTGACATGGGGGCTTGCAGTACGGTACCTGCCGATCCTGTGTGGTGTCTCCGGCTACTGGGCTGCGGGCAGTTGGTTGGCTGCTGGCTGACGGTCTCTCGGCTGCCTTGCTGGATTGATCGGGTTTCCAGGCTGGTCTCTGCTGCAATTCTCCTGCCGTTGACAACTCCAGGCTACGCAAGTTTGCTGTCCACTGTTTACGGAGCTAGCGGTTGGTTAGCTGATTAGCTGCTAGCCGCTGGATCCTCCTACACCGGTCTCCGACACCGTTCTGCTGCGCGCTGCTGCGATCCCTCGTCCAGGCAGCGTGAACCTACCAACCACGCTATCCGGCGTGCTGCAGCAGGTGACTCTACCACTCGTCTTTCTCTGTTGTCGACTCCCGAACATTTCGCACTTTGGAACTGCTGGCCGCTCTGACTTTTAGGCTGTTACAATGAAGCTACTTCTTGCCCTGTTCACTTTGTCCTCGCTATTGGATCCAAATATATTCCAAATACGTGCCGATGCACCTGGATACAGGCCATTGCCTACGGGTCTGCCTAATGTGATGACCCTCACCTGGTCCTTTTGTGAATTGATGTTTGTGTCCCCGTATGTGCCTGTTTTGAAAGATGCAAACTACCTTTGTTTGATGTGTATTTCCGTCTTGAAAAACTATTTCACATTGTCAGAGATCTCACTAATTGATCTTGTCAAGCATCATAATGACGGTCCTGTACCAACACTAAATGCAAAGAAAAAAGGTTTTATTCTACTTCTACTTTTACTCTCAGGCAATGTTAAACCAAATCCAGGCCCTGCACTGAATAATATTGCTACACCTGATGAATTCAGAGCCAGAACTGGCCTTGGTATCATTCATATTTATGTTCGGAGCCTTGTCCCAAAATTGGACCTAATTAAAATTTGGACACAGTCAACTGATACTGATATTCTTGTATTGTCTGAAACCTGGCTTAGTAAGTCAGTGTCAGACAAAGATATTTTTATTAAAGGTTACAATGTCTTTCGTTGTGATCGGCCCAGAATCTCAGTTTTGGGTTGTTATAGACCTCCATCTAGTTATGTTGCTGGACTAAATTCCAGTGAGCTACTTTTGGTTGGGGACCTAAATTGTGATTGGCTGTCCACAGCCTCGGACAGCCTCAGATCTGTTTGTGACTAGGGTTAGTGACTCTCTAAACTTGTCTCAACTGATTGATAGTCCAACTCGTCCTAATATTAAACAACCCACAAGATCAACCCTACTGAACTTAATTTTGACAAATGCAACTCATAAGTATACTGATATAGGGGTTTTTGCAAATAATTTAAGTGATCATTGTGCCATTGCAACAGTTCGAAATGCCAAACTTCCCAAAACCAAGCCTCGGCTTCTTCTTAAAAGAGATTTTAAACACTTTTACGAACAAGCTTTTATACATGATCTGGCTTGTTTTGATTGGACCAGAGTTTCTCTCTTTGACAATGTAGAGCTAGCCTGGAAGTATTTTTATGACGGATTTCTGTTTTTAATAGACAAACATGCCCCGTTTCGCAAATTCAGGGTTAAAGGGCGAAACAACCCCTGGTTTTCAACAGAGATTGGAAATCTACTTAAAGATAGGGATGTTGCCTGGGCCAGGGCCAGGAAATCCAAAACCCTAGTGGATTGGCTCCTCTTTCGCCAGCTTCGGAATAAATGTACAACCCTAATTAAGAGGGCCAAATCAGAGTATTTCATCTCTAAAACCACAAAAAATCTTAATGACCCAAAGAAATTTTGGAAAGTCATAAAATCTTCTTCTGGCCATGTGCCAGTGATGTGCCAGCCCACTTAGTCAAAGAGTCTTGCATCCTGACTGACAAATCAGCCATGCTAAATTGTTTTAATGAACGGGTTATTTAATTTCAGCTGGCTTTTTATTTGACTCCTTGCACCCTGACTTGGTAAAATCCGACAAAAATCAGGATAATGCATCACTGGCATCTGAGGTTGATAGTCAACTTACTGTTCATCCTTTTCAATTTATGCCAGTGTCAACCACTGAGGTGCAGAGAGCATTACAGAAACTGGACTCCAGGAAATCAGCAGGTCCTGAGAAACTTGAGCCGAAACTTGAGCCGATAATTTTATTGCTGAGCCTCTTTCATATATTTTTAACTTGAGTCTGATCAGCAATGAAATCCCAAAGGTCTGGAAATCAGCATTTGTTCTTCCCCTGTTAAAAGGGGGTGAACCCTCACAAGTAAACAATTACAGACCAATTTCTAAACTTTGCATTTTGGCTAAAGTATTTGAAAAAATCATTAGTGAACAACTGAAGGATTTTTTGGATGCCAATAATGTATTATCTAAGTATCAGTCAGGTTTTAGAAAAAAAACATGGCACTGTTACAGCTGCTCTTAAGGTTTTAACTGACATTATTGAAATAACTGATTGTAAGCAATTTTGTGTAGCTCTCTTTATCGATTTATCAAAGGCCTTTGATACAGTTGATCACGGATTATTGCTCAAAATCCTTCAAGTTGGTTTATCAAAGCAAGCAGCCTCCTGGTTTGGCAACTATCTGTCAAACAGAACGCAATGCGTGCAAATGGCAGGATCCACCTCTTCCTTTTTAGAAATCTCAAAAGGGGTGCCCAAGGTTCGACACAGGGACCTATTTTATTTTCCATTTATATCAATAATGTGTGAAAATTTGTCAAATGCCATGTATCACTTTTATGCTGATGACACTATCATCTATTGTTGCTCAGTATCTGTTGCACAAGCTTTTGAGTTTTTGCAGTCAGCTTTCAATGTTGTCCAGTCTCGTTTGAGGGAACTAAGGTTGGTCATAAACACTGATAAAACAAAGCTCATGTTGTTTTCTCCTTTAAGTGGAGAAACAGCAAATGTCCCTTTGATTTTAACTTCTCAAGGAAATGTAATCGAACTTGTCAAAAGCTACGAGTACTTGGGATTTATTCTTGAGAGTGATCTGTCTTTTAAATCACATATTGCCAATTTGGCCTCTAACTTAACTTAAGGTGAAGTTAGGATATTATTACAGAAATAAATCCTGCTTTTCCCTCAGAACAAGGAAACTTCTTGTTTCATCAACCTTTCTTCCTTTGTTGGATTATGGAGATGTACTGTATATGGGCGCCTCGGCCAAATGTTTACAGTCATTGGACACCGTGTATCACTGTGCGTTGAGATTTTTGACTGGGTTGACTTCACTCGCTACTGTGACCTGTACACTAACTCAGATTGGCCATCTTTGAAGGTGCGATGAAAGAGAGAGAGGGGGGGGGAGATAGAGGGCTCCATGAGAGCACCATGTGGAGCTACGTCACGTAGGTACAAAATGGTGGACAAAGGAAGCTGTGTGGCTTAGCTTGAGCTAATTGTGAAAGCATTTAACTGAAAGTAAACTAGCATAGCACAGGCGAACACAGCAGTTCAGCAACAAAAACAAATGCAGCAGCTTACAGCAGATAATAAACAAATGCAGCAGCTTACAGCAGATAATAAACAGAATGTGACGTTCAGTCAACAATAATGCACAATTATCGATTGTTATAGAATAAAACTTCCTAAACTATTCTATGGTCATACTAAAGCCTTACTTGGAATCACTTTTCTGATGACTGTTTCAAGGTTCGGTTGGTCTTCAAATCTGTTGAATCACCAGATTCAGGCAGGTTTCCGTGGCAGATGAAAAGAGATGGCAGCAGGAGTCAGATTTGAGACAAGAGCAATGCTCTATTGTCTTTCTTTTTGCAGGAGTAGATTTTCCTTGGTGTATTCTTCTTCAGGTAACAGTGGTTGTCTGTAGCAGTCCTGTCCAGTTGTGTTCACCGACACTGACGAGAATAATAGGAAAGAATCTCTCTGTGCTCGAACCAGATAGTAACTGATTGAGTCAAAACTCCTAAAGCAGACCTTGGAGGTAGGTCAGGTTGAAATGCGTGTCTCTACTGAAGCTGGAAGCTTGTGAAGAGAGGTGTCCTCTGGTGTAGGGAGACCACAAGTGAAGAGATCGAACAATGAGAGGCGGCTGCTTTTATCGACCCTACACTTAACACCTATGTGTTGGATGTTGCAGAGCATGCTGGGAGTGTTTCTGCAGGGCAGGGCATGCTGGGAGCAAGAGTCATTTAAGTACTCGTACTCAGGCTTCTGTGGCTACAGGCCGGACATTTGTTTCAATACATGCAGATCCCAACATCACGTTTTATCGCTGAACCAACTGTTTATCACAATTCATCGCTGAACAAAAAACGTTTATCACAATCTATCACAAACGGACGACACAGTTCTCCTGTCTCTGCTGTCAGGCCCCTCTCAGCACCATGGACCAGTTCTTCAGGAGTTTGTGGAGTGGTGTGACAGCTCCTGCCTCGAACTGAACGTGAGCAAGACCAAAGACATGGTGGTGACCTTCTCCAACAAGCAGAGGGAACTGGCTGCATCAGCAATCACCACAATCCATGGGAATCCTGTCGAACTAGTAGAGGAGTATAAGTACCTGTGTACCATCTTCGACAGCCTGCTGAAATTCGCCTCCAACACCGAGGAGATTCTCAGGAAATGTCAGCAGCAAAAATACCTCCTAAGGAAGCTCAATTCCTTTGGAGTCAGTAAGAACATTCTTCTGACCTTCTACTACTCCTTCATTGAGAGCATTATTACTTTTTCTATAACCTGCTGGTTCCACTCTACCACCCTCCAGAACAGAAACCGCCTGCAGAGCACGGTCACAGTCTGCTCTAAGATCATTGGACTACCTGTAAGGACTTTGACATCGATCTATGAGCAACAGACAATCAGGCTAGCAGGTCGGATTATGCAGGACCCCTCACACGCTCTCTCTTCCCAGCGTTTGAGTGGCTCCCCTCAGGACGCCGGCTTCGCTGTCCCTGCTGCAGGACACAGAGGAGAAGAGCAACCTTCGTTCCCAGGGCTGTCCAGCTTTATCTGGTCTCATGCACTACATCACTTTATTCTATCCATTTTATATCAGTATTCATAAAGTTCTGGTTAATTTATTCCTGTTGTTTCTTATCCATCATTGCACTACGGTCACTTTATCAAATTTTTACCTTACAGTTATATTGTATATATTAGTTCTGTTGTTCCATTATTCACCATGTACCTTAATAACTTATCATTTAGTATTTGCCTACTTGCACATAGCTCTGTATATATATATTTATTTCTCGTTACCGCACATAGTTCTGTTTACATCTGGTCACTACTGCACATAGTTATGGTTACATCTGTTTACATCTGTTAGTCCGATCACTGTCCACTTATATCTACTCTTTTATATTTTGTATTTTTAAGTTAAGTCTAAGCTTTAAGTTGTATTTAAATTGACACTTTCTATTTAGGTTAAAATGTTTTGTTTACTTGCACTGTTGTTAATTTACTGCTCTGTGTGCCTTTGAATTGCCCCCCGGGGACAAATAAAGTTTTTTTTAATTGAATTGAATTGAACAGTTTTTGTTAGGCTTTTATTTTGAATTTCTGTGCTGTGTTAAACCAGGGTACTTTCCTTCTCGTTTGGATTAAAACCTGCTTTTATTTTGAAAGAAAATAGTGAACAGTTAGGCTTTTCAGGCCACACACTACCTTATTGTTATCCTCGTACAACATGATGACAATCTGAGTCATGTAGTTGAGTTCTGAGACAGCACTGAGGTAGTCCATGGCCCGCTTCCACTGCTGGTCCTTCTCCTCCTGTTCAGAGCAGGCAGACAGACACACACACACACACACACAGACACACACAGACACACACACACACACACACACACACACACACACACACACACACACACCACACACACACACACACACACACACACACACACACACACACACACACACACACACACACACACACACACACACACACACACAATTAATTAACAGGTGTCCCTCTCAGCAGCTGTTGTGTTCCTCATGTTTTTTGATGCTTACGTCCAGCAGGCCTCCGTAGCGGAAGATGCTGAGCAGAGAGTGGACGTGACTCTCGCTGGTGAAATATAAACGAGTCCTGACGTGGCGACCTGGTGACATGACTCCTCGGGAGTACCTGTGAACACACACCTCTGTCACACACACACACATATTATTCCAGAATGTGAAACAACAGGAGACTCACAGAGGGTGCAGCTTGTTGACCGACTCGTCCTCATGCGTCCTCTGCAGATCAAGCTGCATCTTTCTGACCAGAGGGAGGCAGTACGCGTACGCTATGTCCAACTTCTCCACTTTGTTTATACCGTACTCCTACAGACAGACAGACAGACAGACAGACAGACAGACAGACAGACAGACAGACAGACAGACAGACAGACACAGACACACACACACACACACACACACACAGACACACACACACACACACACACACACACACACACACACACACACACACACACACACACACACACACACACACACACACACACACACACACACACACACACACACACACACACACACACACACACACACACACACACACACACACACACACACACACACACACACACACACACACACACACACACACACACACAGTACTGATTAACCCTTGCTCAGTCTTCGTTCATTAAGAAATATCAAACCAAAGGTAAATACAGAATCCTGTCTTCTGATTGGTGCAGGTGTAACCCTCACCTGAGGGATGACGATGTCAGCTAAAGCGCGGGACAGTCTGAAAAGCTCTAGTGTGTCCTCCAGGCCCAGCGTGGAGTTGTGGATGACGTCATACTTCACGCAGTCATAGATGTCGGGGATCTTACTGATGTCGTAGCGTCCGTTCTTCATCCGGAAATCCCTCTCCAGTTTGGACCAGCGCTGCAGCATCAGCTCCAGAGTCTCACTGTGGTACAGCTGCAGATCTTATACACACAAACACGGTTTATCTTTACCAAACTACTTTTGATTTTTTATTCATTAACCCAGTGATTTTTATATTATGGGATTGTTTTAAGGCTGACAGGTGAATTTCTCACCTGCTGACTTCGGGTCCTCCATCCTGGTGCGGATCTGTGACGTGAGGCTCTGAATGAGGGCGTACACCTGATCACAGGTGGACACGGGGTTCTGCACGATCCTCATGGAGTTCACAAGAGAGGCACTGCAGTTTGGAGCCAGCTGACGAGCACACACACACACACAAAATAACTTAAGCAAGAACATATATTCATGGCTCAGGTACACGAGATGTTATGAGAGATCTGTAACCTCAGACTCTTCTAGCAGTCGATAATGATTGTACCTTAACTTCCACAGGTGTAGAAAAAGGTGAAGACGAGCACCAACAGGTGAACACACTCAGGTCAGAGACTCACCCTGTCGTAGTCCTCCTCGATGAAGTCTCGGTCCTTCTGCAGAATGTCGTGGAGGCGGGCCTTCACTCTGTGCTGACAGCTGCTCAGAGAGTCACTGTCGTTATCCAGAAGACCGTTCATGTTGGCGCTCTTCACCATCTGAACCAGGATGGGCGTCAGCTCGCCCTCCAGAGCCAGCAGGCCCTGAAGATACAACACACACACACCACACCACACCACACCACACCACACCACACCACACCACACACAGATGATGTGTTAATCTGTGACTCAAATTCAAAAACCAAAGTGATCATCATAAAACGTGTCTACACTGAAGAACAAATTTTACCAAATCAGATAATAACAGTGAGTTTGACAGCGAGTACAGGTAACAGGTGAGCTGAGCATCTTCACTGGTCTCTCCATTCATTCCATTATGATTAATGCACATGGCTACTTTTTCATAAACAGAGACACACATAAATAAGTGTCAAGAGTCATAAATATGAACTCCTTTTGTATCATTCAATGTCTAAAATCTCTCTATTGGTCTGCGTTACCTTTGTTTACTCACCACCGTGGACAATACATAAAACAACCTCACTGCGCAAAACAACTGGACTTACTCTGTTCAAAGCTTTCTATTGGTCAGAACTTAAAATAATCACACATAACACAGATTAATAAAGGAAACCTCTCAGTAAATTAGAAGACTTTGTACCTTTGCAAAGGCTGCAGCGGTCATCTGAACCCGTCCTTCATCAGACGCATAAATCTTCAGGTCGTGTCTGTAAGTGCTGTGAAGCCTCAACAACCCACAGCCTGGAAACCCAGCATAGTCTCCTAAACACACACACAGCATAGTCTCCTATAAACACACACACAGCATAGTCTCCTAAACACACACACACACAGCATAGTCTCACACACACACACACACAGCCTAGTCTCACACACACACACAGCCTAGTCTCACGCACGCACGCACACACATTCCAAGCAGCAAAGTTGTACGCTCTATCAAGGACACGCCCACAAGGACGCTTCCTTAAATGTTCCTGCGAGTGCAAACAGAGCTGGCCAATCAGAGGAGAGTGGGCATGTGGGGAGAGGAAAACGAGAGCTACCTATGTAACTACGGTTCTATGAATTCTGGATGACCGCCAGAGGCAGTTCTTAACACTGGATTATATCTGTCTCGTGCACGTGCAGGTCGAGTATTTAATATCAACAAAGTCACGTGACCTGGGATGACGCCTAACGTAGCCTAAATAGCCCGCGTCATCACGTGAGACGCCCCTTCAGAATCTTCTCGCCAAGATTTTGAGTGACGGAGAACTCTGGCGGTCATACATAACATAGCTCTCGTTCTATTTCATTCTTCCTGACCACCAGAGGCAGTTCTTAACACTGGATGACTAATACCAGCATTGTCACAAGGAATCCCAACTCACCGTGAACGGTCTTAAGGTTCCTGAAAAACAGCTGCTCCCAGTGCCCTGGGAGCAGCGACATTTACCCTGTAAAAAGGTACATGGTGTGGCCCAAGTGGCTGCAGCACATATCTCACTTAGAGGGAACCCCCGTAGTGAGGCCCAGGAAGTAGAGACACTCCTGGTGGAATGGCCCTTGAAATTAAGTGGCATTGGCAGACCCCTTGACCTGTAGGCCTTTTCAATAGCCATAACAATCCACCTGGAACTCCTCTGCTTGGACAGGGCCTGTCCTTTCTTGTGGCTGCCATAGCAGATAAACAGGCAATCAGAGTGGCGAAAACTTGAGGTTGCTTGGATGTAGTGTCTCAAAGCCCTAACTGGGCAGAGCAGCTCTGCTGAATTGGCTTCCTCATCCTGCAGGGATGAGGGGTGATAAGCTCCCATCAATGACCTGATTAAAGTGGCTTGCCCCCAACCTCTTGGGGAAGAATGATGGGTTAGGCCAAAGTGCCACTCTTGTGCCATCTGAGTTCCATCGCATGCATGCCTCACTCACCGACAAGGCTTGAAGCTCACTCACATGTTTTGCCGAAGCCATCGCCAGAAGAAAAACCTTTGCTGACAGCCACTCAATCCCTGCCTGCCCCAGAGGCTCAAAGGGGGGGGGGGCAAAGGCCTTCAAGCACCAAAGGCAGGTCCCACAAGGGAACCTTAACAGCCAGCGGAGGGTTTCGCCACTGAGCACCTCTAAGAAACTGGGTCACCAGAGTGTGATACCCCAAGGTGTGGTTATCAACTTTAATATGCCTGGCCGAAATCACATCCACATATACCTTTAAGGTGGAAACAGAGAGCTCCTTCTCTAGCAGACTGCAGAAACCGCAGTACTACTGGCACAGAGGTACTCTCAGGAGTCTCTTTGTGGGCTCTACACCATTCTGAAAAAAGCTTCCACCTGTTGGCATAAAGTGCCCTTGTGGAGGTGCCCTCGAGTCATTTATGGTCTGGATAACCGCTTGGTCACAAGCAGTTAGGAGTGGTTCAGGCCCCTCAAGGGCCATACCCACAATTGCAGACGCTCCGGAGTCGGATGCCAGATGCTGCCCCCCAGCTGTGAGAGCAGATCCTGCTGTGTCGGCAGGCACCATGGAACTCCGTTCAGAAGACTGTACATGCGTGGAAACCAGGGCCTTCCTGGCCAGTTCGGGGGAACCAAAAAAGTCTGTGGTTGACCTGCTATAGTAGGCAGCATTGCTGCTATGAGAAAAAATGGTGGGAAGGCATAAAGAAGACGATCTGGCCATGTGTGTGCCAGAGCATCCTGTCCTAGAGGACTCGTCGTCTCCATCAAGGAGAACCAAGGAGGGCAGTGGGTTGAGGACCTCGAACCAAACAGGTCCACCTCTGCCTTGCCATATATTCGCCATATCTCCTCTATAACCTCTGGAGGGAGGTTTCTGGTGAGATAGAAAGTCTGCCACCAGGTTCTGTGGCCCCGGCAGGTACATGGCCCTGAGGCTGGCAAGGCGAGGGAAAGCCCATACCAGGAGACGGTGCACCACCCGCAGCAGCCGGGTTGACCTTGTGCCCTCTTGATGATTGATATGGTAGACTGCAGACATGTTGGAACGCACAAGAACATGTCTGCCCTTTAAATAAGGCAGGAACTCGATGAGTGCCAAATGCATTGCCCGGAGCTCGAGCACATTTATGTGCTGCGTAGCCTCCAGCGCTGTCCAAAGCCCTCTCACCGCTCTGCACTTCCACACTGCCCCCCAACCTGAAGTTGAGGCATCGGTCATTACAACTTGCGACGTGAGGATACCCAACAAGACGGCACCACTGATGTTACCGTCGTTAGCATACCCAACAGCCTGAGGAAAAGGCTGTACTGTAACCTCCTGCCCCTCCGCAAACAGAGGAGAAGCTGGAGTATGGCCTCCACTCTGCGTTGTGTCGGGGAGGCCAGCATACAACCTGAATCCAGGGTCAATCCAATAAACACTGCCCTTTGGCTGGGTATGAGACAGCTCTTTGCGTAATTGACTGTGAGGCCCAACTGTGACACATGGTGAAGAAGTGCTGAAGTGTCGAGGCACAGATCAGCCAGTCATCCAGGTATGGGTGGACATGCATACCCCTGGCCTGCAATGGGGCCAATGCTGCCCGCATGCACCGTGTAAAGACCCGTGGGGCCAGGGACAGCCCGAAGGGAAGCACTTTGAACTGATAAACCCTGCCTTCGAATGCAAAGCGCAGGAATTTTCTGTGATGGAGTGCGATTGGCACATGAAAGTATGCGTCCTTTAAATCGATAGATGTGAACCAACTCTGCCGTGTCACGGCCTGGAGCACATCTGCTGTTCTCAGCATGTGGAAGGGCAACACCTTCAGAAATGTGTTCAGCCCTCTTAGATCTAGGATAGGGCAAAACCCACCTTCTTTTTTGGGGATCAGAAAATACACTGAGTAGAACCCACCTTGCTGTGTCTGATGATTTACGCCTTCTATGGCGTCCTTCTCCAGGAGGTTGGCTATCTCCTGGCTGAGTGCCTGACGTCTTGTGGGGTCACTGACTGTGGTATGTCGGACCCCACTGAAAACTGGGGGCCGGCGTCGGAACTGAAGAGTGTACCCTTGGGAAAGCGTGGCCACCACCCAAGGGTCTGAAGTACAGCTTCTCCAGTAGCTGAGGTGCTGCTCGGAGAAGCGTCCGACGGCCAGCCCTGGGGCATCAGGGCCTGCCCCCCTGTCCCTTGTGGGGCGAAACCCAGACCCCTGACCTCTCTGGGTCTGCGGCGCTGAATGCGGGGGAGCCTATTGGTGGTAATCAGGCCACTCAAAGGCTTGTGAGGTTCTTGGGCAGCCACCAACCCGGCTGGCAGTCGAGGACAACCAGTGCCATAACCCGCCTGAGGCCGTCGTCTCAGAGCAGGCACAGGGCCCTGAAGGTTAGCAAACTGTAACCGAGTTTGGTTCGCCTGGACTCCACGCTCTAAGGCTTGGTGTGCTGCTGGCCCAAACAACTCCCCTGGCACTACTGGGAGAACCCGAAGAGCCCTCCAACCTGGCTCAGGAAGTGGAGACTGAGCCAGCCATACCTGGCGCCTAGTCAGGGTTAGTGTTGACATTAACCTGCCAAGCTCCCTTGTCATAAGGGCAAATGCCTGCAAAGATGTGTCATTCAGTCTCTGGATGGATGCATCCAGGCCAGAGGACTGCAGGGACTGTGACAGGGCTAGTATCAAATGTGACAGTGAGTTACCAATACGCCCCATGCGGGCCGCCGTATCATAACATTTCACCAGAAAATCTTCTGTCATGCGACACTGCGGTCTGGGACAGCGAGCATCAGGTCTCAAGACCTTATCAGGTGACACAATGAGGGAGGCTATAGCTGGTTCTACCGCTGGCATCTGGGCCAGCCCATAACTGCCAGCATTCTACATGGAAGCCAGGGCCCTGCTGTTAGAAGTGTGGTGAGACAGAGACTTGGGGTCTGGTGAGAAAGACACTTGGGGTCTGGCCAGCACTTGTGGAGCTCCTCAATGTATGGCTGGGATGGTGGTACAAAGAAGCTTGCCTGCGGAGGGAACCGCCTAAAGAAGGCGCTGGCTGGGGTGCTGGAGGCCGGGGTCTCATCCAAGCCCAAGCGTGCCAGTGCCATATGCACCACTGGTTTAACAGAGGCTGGGGCAGCCTCTGAACCCACCCTGGATCCGCTTACCGTTCGCTGAGAACCGGCATGAACGGAAGCATCCACTGGCCCCACAAAACTGGCTACAGGAAGCCCTTGTAGACAAGGCATCCCCATCCCAATCAGGTGGGCCCTCTCCTGGACTTGCTACCGCCCTGCTCGGCCGAAGTTTAACAAGCAGAGTCTTAGTCTCTGCAAACTCTGAGGCTAGTTTATCAACCTTAATGGCTAAACCATCCACCTTCTTACGTCTCTTCCTACGTGGAGCACATTCCGGCGGTGCCCCACCACGCCTTCTTGAAGCCGATCCAGATGAAGGCAGCTGGTCTCCAGGCTGCTGTCCTTCCACCTCAACCAGCCGGGCCAGCTTCAGATCCCATGGCATGAAACTGCAATTCATGCACGGACTATCTGACAGCCCCTCCCTCAGGTGTGCCACACCGAGGCATATAGGGCACTCATCATGGCCATCGGATGTATGCAGCGGCGCCATGCATGAACGGCAAACATGGGACCCGAACATGTCAGACATGGTTACCTATCTGGGTAGTGTTACTCGGGAGCGAAAACATTCAGTGGCAACAAACACCCACAAATCAAATCAACTCCCTATCCGTTGACCAATGGGCAGCGCTTACAGATGCACTGCTTAACAAACAATTAAGCTGTTCTGTCTTTTCTTTTTCAATATTTCTCTTTTTATATCCTAAATTATTTTACCATTAACCGTTTACTGGGGAGCCCTCGCTCTTTTACACAAACAAAAAATGTCACGCCTCGACGAACCCACTCGCGTAGCAGTCAATTACCATCAGCTGTCACACACCGTGATACCATCAGCCTTGCGGTGAAAGCGCAGACACTTCTCACAGCGGAAAAAACAACCAAAGAAACCCGAAGCTCACTGTACAGCTAAGGAAGGGTTAATACTTATCTCAGCGGTCCAACATCAAGCTATCATTAGCCAGTCCGTAATGCGCTGAGAGCCCCAGCGAAAACACCGGTCAGACAGCTCGGTACGATGAAACAATGTAGCCGTTGTAACTAATCGCAGCCCCTGAAGGACGAAATTCCGTAGCTCCAACCGTGGTTGCAGGGCTCCAAGCAAAAAGTTTTTCGGCTTCCTTCTGTAAACAACCTGCATCGCGGATACCTGCGAGAAGATAGAAGGGGCGTCTCACGTGATGACGCGGGCTATTTAAGCTACGTCAGGTGTCATCCCAGGTCACATGTGACTTGTTGATATTAAATACTCGACCTGCGCGTGCACGAGACAGATATAATCCAGTGTTAAGAACTGCCTCTGGCAGTCAGGAAGAATGAAATAGAACTGAAATGAAGCGTTTCATGCAGAGGCTGAAATGAGGGATTTTACTGACGCCAGTATCAGATACATAAGTTTTTGAGCAACGCATCTGAAAACGCAATACTCAACAGGTGTCCCAGACTGACATCATTACTGCTGACAGTGAGGATAATAGATCTCCTTTAAACCCAAAGCTGCTGTGAGAAGAAAACCCAGAGCAGCGATGGTCCGTTCATACAAACAGGATGGTAAATACTGATGGTGTCTCATAAAGATCCAACATTTATGTCTCTTAAAAGAAGAAATCTAGGGAGGAGACACATTGTGAAGGAGTTTAGCTGCGGTCTCTAGGGTGTCTATATATGTTACTGTGGTATTGAAATAGTGATCAATATTGTTTGATTTTCCTGGTATATCTTGGCTTGATATTCTGGTGGTTCTCCAGCTGAGGACTGAACCTCAGGTCTGTGACTGACAGCTGGAAAACAGAGCTACTGCAGCAGATAACCTGCAGTTTCTCACCTTGTCCTCCAGGGTACATGCAGCGGAAAGCTCGGCCCAGCTCCTCGGCCTGCACTCTGCCTGCGGGAGTCAGCTCACCCCCCCACTTCAGCACCAGCAGCAGAGACGGGCCCTCTTTACGCGTGTCTGAACACACAAGAACATCTTAACACTGTGCACAGGTGAGTAACGTACAATCTGGTGTGTAAGACACACTTTCAATGACCATTCCTTCATCTATAAAGTGTGCTGCGTTCTGTAAACTGCTCCACCCATTTAAGGGGGGGTCGGCCTGCAGAACATTTTTTTTTCCCAGAGGTTAGTCCATTTTATTAATTTAGATATTTGAATGTAAACATTCTTCATATTTAGATTTTTAATTTCACGTCTTTGTGAAGTCTGTCAGCGTGTTTTATTTATTTATTATATTTTATTTGCTTTTCTTAATGAGGATACATCAAAATAAACACAGTATACAAACTTTGGTGTCAGTTAACAATAGTCAGTTTAGCCTCCTTAATATTCTCTTCAGACTTTGTGATGGGTTTTAAAGTCAGTCCACTTTTTCCATTTTCCTCGGCCTGCAGAACATTTTTAACAGAGTCGATGTCATTTCCTTCTCTCTGAACACGTATAAATTATTTTTTTCTGGCTGCAGCATGAGACACTTTTTCTACGTTTATCCCGATGAACGTGGTCGCTCGTGTCAGGTCAGAAATGCAGCCAATGATTAAATCATCTTAATGCTGTCATGCAGCTAAACTTTCTGTTGGAGTGCAATCGTTCACTCAGATTCAACCAGAAATCTGAAGACTGATGATTCACTGAGCACGTCCACCACACCCATCACTGTCATTAACCACACAGAGCACCTGCAGTAGACTCCCTGTCCAGTGAGCAGCAACTTGCATGACATCTAGTCCAGCTGGCTTTGTTATCTATATAAACTCCTCAAAAAAAGTTTGGAAATGTTATTTTGGTCACTTATTTGGCCCCTTTAATAATACTAATTGGTGTTGTATTTTATATCGTTGGAAAGCCTGATTAGTCATCTTTACGAGGTATAACTTGTTCTTGGAATGTGCCACACAGCTAAATGTGTGGGTAGCGCCGCAAAACAATGTGCCAAATTCCCCTGCAATGTTCTCCTGTTAGTATTCACTCCTGTTTTGAGTTTCTTGGTGTATTGGATGATTGCACTCTCCCACAGTAATAAGGAACAAACAACACATGGTGGCCATTTTGACACTTTATTCATTTGACACTGTCAGGGACCTCAGTAGCGTGTGGAAGATCCATACGAGGCCACAACAGCTTGGCCCCTCCTCCTCATGCTGGTCACCAGCCTGGTGAGAGTTGTTGAAGGTTAACCAGCATGGTTGTGTTGGTCACTCTGGCATGAACAGCACGCCCATGATGATCCCACAAGTGCTGTCAATTAGGTGCCAATCAGGTGTCAATCATACACCTGTAACTGTCACACACCTGACAGTACTTGAAGCTCAAAACAGGAGTGAATACCAACAGAAGAACATTGCAGGGGATTTTGGCACATTTTTTTTAGAGCACTACCCACCCGTTTAGCTGTGTTGCTCATTCCATGAATGCACAATCCTTACAAGTTATACCTCGTTCTAAAGGTGACTAATCAGGCTTTCCAAGGATATAACATACAACACCAATTAGTATTATTAAAGTGACCAAAATAACATTTCCAAACTTTTTTTGAGGAGTTTAGTTTGGAGGGGGAGACGTTCGTACCTTCTTCCTCTGAGGAGGTTTTGGGCTGTCCATGGGGCAGGTAGGTCAGCTGAACTTTACGGTTGATTCCAGAGAAGTGACCGTACCTTTAAGAAGAAAAAACAACAGCATGAAGTCAGGTAACTCAAACACCTAGCTGTGGGAGTGTCAGCCACCTGGGGGAGGGGTTACTGCCCTTTGTGATGTCATGAAGGGAAAATCTCCAAACGGCCTGTTTGAGCACACATTTTCTGAAAAGTGGAGCAGGCAAAAGACGGAGAGGATGGACTTTTCTCATCATTGGGGGGTTTGAAGACAGACTAGAGACACATGTTAGAGTTAGAGAAACATGGGGAAGTGGATTTTGTATTATATGGGACCTTTAAAGGTGTGTTAAACAGTTCAAAGTTCGATCATTAGTCTGTGGTGGTTTGAAGCTTTCTGCTAAAGTGGTTTAAGAATAGAAATCATTGAATTGACTTTTCTGTTTGTCTGAACTGTTTCAGCCTCTGTCTGTCTGTGGGTGAACTTCCTGTTTCAGCCTCTGTCTGTCTGTGGGTGAACTTCCTGTTTTTGTGTCTGTCCGTCTGTGGGTGAACTTCCTGTTTTTGTGTCTGTCCGTCTGTGGGTGAACTTCCTGTTTTTGTTTCTGTCTGTCTGTGGGTGAACTTCCTGTTTCAGCCTCTGTCTGTCTGTGGGTGAACTTCCTGTTTTTGTGTCTGTCTGTAGGTGAACTTCCTGTTTGAGCCTCTGTCTGTCTGTGGGTGAACTTCCTGTTTCAGCCTCTGTCTGTCTGTGGGTGAACTTCCTGTTTTTGTGTCTGTCCGTCTGTGGGTGAACTTCCTGTTTTTGTTTCTGTCTGTCTGTGGGTGAACTTCCTGTTTCAGCCTCTGTCTGTCTGTGGATGAACTTCCTGTTTTTGTGTCTGTCTGTCTGTCTGTCTGTGGGTGAACTTCCTGTTTTTGTGTCTGTCTGTAGGTGAACTTCCTGTTTGAGCCTCTGTCTGTCTGTGGGTGAACTTCCTGTTTTTGTTTCTGTCTGCCTGGTTCCCTCATGTTGTCTTTCGTGTACCTGTGGTGTTGCATGCTGCAGGTCTAATTTTCTCCGGGATGATAATACGGTTGAAGTGAATATAACAGAGTGGCGTGAAAGTGTGCCTCACATTTCCAGAACCGTCTTCAGCTGCTCCAGTTTGGACTTCTTCTCCTCGATCTCACAGTCGTTGTGTTGACCCAGCTCCACCAGCAGCTGCCGCGTGATGTCCAGCACCTCCTGGAACACAGACCAGAATACACAGAGGGAATCATTAAACACACACACACAGCAGGCAGACACACACAGACCACAAAACACAGATGGAGTCATTAAACACACACACAGCAGACATACAGCAGACACACACACCGCACAGCCTACTCTACCTGTCTGACCTCCCCCCTACCTGTCTGACATCCCCCCCACCTGTCTGTGCTCCTCTCCATCTGACTCCCAAAAACCATCAGAGACCCTCCCACCACTAACAGACTCTCCTGATCCTCATTGTCTCTGACAATAGTTCTGCTTTGATTTGCATCTTTGAGTCTTCTGAGCTTTGTAAGTCTAATGTATGATGATGATGATGACATTGTTGTTACCTGCAGCTGTTTGGGCTTCTTCAGCTTTAATTTGCCTGTCTTGTATCCTCCATATTTTTCAAACAGATCAAAGAACCTGAAACATTCAAAGACAAACTTTTTAATAGATGTGCAACAGTTCTGATACGGCAGAATTTGAACCATATAATCTGTGACTGAAATTAAATCAAAAAGTAAAGAATCTTTAAAGAATAAAACATCTTCAGTCAGATCTGTAATCTCCAGAATGCTGTAAACATCAGCAATGTTTATGTGCAATTGAGATTTCTGAATGCGGGCTCATTTCATAGACTGAAGGAAATAGAAGCCTGAGCTGTTTTTTTTACAGGAGTCTGATTTTTACTAGAATCATGTCAAAGTTGAAACAAGCCCACGTTGCAGTCAACAGAAGTTGCTAACAGAGGTCACCCACATGGGGTTTCGGACTTCCATTTTCATCTTCTGTTTGGGCGTTCGGTCACCGTGTCTGATGACAGCGATGACGCAGCGGAGCTCCATCCTGCAGAGAGAAACACAAAGTTTACACCCACAATAAAAACCACTGTTAGTTGATCTCAACACCAAGCGGATAAAGCTTGTTCTAAAACCAGGGTGAACCTTATGTTGTCTTTTACCCGTGGACATGGATTTGGTCTGCTTCCTGTTGGACAGGCAGGTGACAAACACCGGCCGTTAGCTTGTGCTAGCGTGCGTTAGCTTGCAGTGTAGCTACAAGCAGTAAACAAACAGCGCTCTGCAGCGAATCTTTGCAGAGCGCAACATGATAAAAACACAAACACCTGCATTCATCAACAGTAACACACCTGCTCTGTCAGCACCTCATACACCTGACTGTCTGCGTGTGTGTGTGTGTGTCTCTGTCTGTCTGTCTGCCTCTCTCTCTCTGTCTTACTGTCTGCCTGTCTCTCCGCCTGCCTCTGTCTGTCTGTCTCTCTGTCTGCCTGCATGTCTGTCTTTCTGTCTGTCTGTCAGTCAGTCAGTCTTCCTGTCTCTGTGTCTGTCTGCCTGTCTGTCTGACTCACATGGTTCCTGAGGTGGTTGGGACGATGGGGATGTCCTCGGCCTCTGTGGGGATGGACCACGGGATCTGAAACTGAGGGGCCAGCTCACGCATCACAATGTTCCTACAGAGACACAAAGAGTTAAATAAAGAAGACACAAAGAGAGAGAAACAGAAATCTGCTCTGGATTTAGTTTAAATTAAACATTTGGTACCCGAGGATCTTTGCACAGTCGTCGTAGTACTTCATGGAGTTTTTAACAAAACTGAAGCCGTTGACGTCACAGACAAAAGAGTGTCCGTTAGCTCTCAGGAGATCGAAGCCACAAACTGTTTGCTGCAGCGAGGAGAGAGAGAGAGATAGAGGGCGAGACGTTGATTTCATTCTAATTAACATGTGAGCACTCATTACTTTCTGTTTTCAGACACCAGAGGACTAACTCAGTGATACAGAGACAAACACTTTCTAACCTTGAAGGCGAGGCAGACTTTTCGAGCCACCAGTTTCTCCATGGCTGACAGCATGACGGGGTATCGGACCTCCTTCCCCTCGCTGTCTCTCTCCACCTTCCCGTCCAGAGCAGGAGACTTCCGAGCCTCAGCATGAGCGTAGTCCGGCCCTACAGTGTACACCTTAGGACAGGTGAAACACAGTTAAATAATCACTGTTGTAACAGCACAAATAAAGAACAACAGAAGGTTAAAGTAACAGACATCAGAGAGTAAGAACAACATGAGCAAGAATCCAGAGAGAAGGAAACAATGTCAGGAAGTGCAAACAAACAGCTTTAAGTCTGATCGGACACACAGGTGCTGACAGGAAGTGACCAGAGGTGCTGACATGAAGTGACCAGAGGCAGGACACAACATGGACAGCTGTTCTGAGTTTTAATCAGCATCAAAACCATCCTAAAAATAATAATATCATCCTCATTATTAAGTTAGTAGGTATTCATGAAAGAGCTGGGTCTTTAGCTTTTTCTTAAAGATGCAGAGGGACTCTGCAGACCGAATGGAGTTTGAAAGTTTATTCCACCACCGGGGGGCAACAGAGAAGAGTCTAGTCAGAGACTTAGGACCCTGTTGTGAAGGTTGGATCAGACGCCTTTCATTGGCAGAGCGCAGTGGGCGGGAGGGAGTGTAGACCTGAATGAGAGAGTTAAAGTAAGGAGGAGCTGTTTTTGTGTCTGTTTTGTAAGCGAGCAGCAGAGTTTTAAATTTGATGTGAGCAGTAAGGAGCCAGTGTAAGGAGATGAACAGCGGAGTGACACGAGCTCTTTTAGGAAGGTTGTAGACCAGTCGTGCTGCTGCATTTTATATCATCTGCAGGGGTTTGATAGTGCATGTAGGAAGACCTGCCAGTAGAGAGTTGCAATAGTCAATGTGTGATATCACAAGAGACTGTACCAGGAGCTGTGTAGCGTGTTCTGACAGGTAAGGCCTGATCTTGTGGTGGGCGATATAACGATCTTAGATCGTGAAGGATTTTAACGTGCTGACGATCTGCCAAAGCAGGGAGATTGTAGAACTGGGCTCATGTGTTTATTCTGTCATGCTTCAGTTTATGCTCCGACACAGACGCGTCTCCCCCTCCCCTTTTGCTCTGCAGCGGGGAAAAAAAAACCCGGTGTTTAAAATGTTGCTGTCGGTGTTTTCTGCTCTCTCTCAGTTTTTAAAAGCTACCACCCGAAGCTCACCTGTTGTGAATTTATAGGGATTACACTAAAAGACGTTAAACGATGTGTGCAGCAGGCAGGTGAGAGTGAGTAACCATGGTGACTGTCTGTCTGTCAATCAATGGTGTCCCGCCCCCTCTATGAATAAAACTCTTCTTTCATTAAAACTTACTTTGATCATGTGTCACAGAATGAACACATTCTGTATTATGTTTGATTATATATAAACCAAACTAAATGATATCATAAAAAACAACAAAGGCTGCAGAGCCTGTATGAAGCTACAGCTGTAGGAACTTTGCAGGGCTAAAATAGAACAGAAACACAAGAACTCAAAGTCTACATGTTTTCAAATGAATGCATCACTGTGTGAAAATGTTCCTGATGAACATAAAAAGGACACATTGCTAAATAATAATTTCAAAGTGGTGCATAAATATTGATCAAATCGAGGAAAAGACGTTTCTGGTGCTAAAGATGTTCTGGGTGAGAGACCTCCAGACCCCCTACAAAGATGTTTTTCAAATAGACTAAACTTGTCAGCACAGTTTTTGGGCATATAAAAACATTATACAGGGAAATAAGTTTGGTTGAACTGGTCAGTAACTTGCAAATTAGTCTTAAGATCAGTATGAAAAAAAATCGTGATCTTGCAAAAAAGAAATTGTGATATGATATTTTTCCCATATCGCCCACCTCTAGTCTGACCTTCCTGATGTTGTACAGGGCAAATCGACATGACCGGGCAATTTAGGCTACTTGAACCTTAAAAGTTAGCTGGTCATTAATCATGACACCCACGTTCCGGGCAGACTTTGTGGGCATGAGTTTGGTTGTTCCAGGCTGGATATTGATCTGTGGTTGCATAGAGGGACTGGCTGGGATGACAAGGAGCTCAGTCTTTGAAAGGTTGAGTTAAAGGTGGCGTTCATTCATTTATTTAGAGATATCAGCAAGGCATGACGAGATTCTTGCAGAGACTGTAACATCGTCTGGCGGGAATGACAGGAAGAGCTGGGTATCGTCAGCATAGCAGTGGTATGAGAAGCCATGAGAGCGGATTATTTAACCAAGTGAGCTTGTGTATATGGAGAAGAGAAGGGGACCGAGCACAGAGCCCTGAGGTACCCCTGTGGAAGGACACAAACCAGCAGAGGGCAGACCTGAGATAATTTAGATGCTCACATTCAGAATACAGAGTGAGATCTAATGTAACGTAGCTAGCGCTCTGCGAGGACATAACCAAGCTTTAGAGATCTACTAATATAACAATATTCTACACAAGATATCATTCTGTCTTCGTACCTTTACGTCTGTGCCGTCAGTGGGCATGAACTCTTCATAGATGTAGGAGCCCGTCTTCCTCACGCTGCTCTCTGGTGAGTACACGCTGCTGCGACTCCCAATCTACACACACACATACACACAGACACACACACACACACACACTCGTTACAAATGTAAGAGGAAAAGTATGACCCATGATAAGAGCACTAAGGCACGACGGCTGATCACTGTTTAATCAGCTGCTTCTGATCAGTTGGTTTTTACCTTTCTGCATGGTGACCTGTTACAGGTCACTCAGACTCAAAACCCGCAACAAAATGCAGATCATTGTTAAACTGTGTGTCAGAATCACAGAATCGTCCCTCTCTGACCTTTCTCATTTATATAAAACAAAGTGTTTGAAGAAGGTTCAGTCCATCTTGGCAGATCCAAGTCATCCTTTTTCAAAGGACTTTAAGTTGCTGCCGTCAGGCCGCAGATTCAGCCTGCCAGCATGCAGGACAAAGAGGAGGAGAAACTCATTTGTTCCTGCTGCCATCACCTTTCTAAACCACTTCCTGCTTCCATCTGTCTCTTAACTATTGTATTTATTTATTGTCCATTCTATGTTGTGTGCTGATTGCGGGCTGTAATTATGTATATGTTTTACTCCTGACTCCTCTGTCAGAGATAATAAAGACAACCTTGAACCCTGATGATTTTCTAGGATGTTAGATATTTTTGTTGTACGCCTGCCCACACTCACACAGTGTAAACAGAGCAACGGGCTGATTACCTGACTCCATAACCTTTTCCCCTGATTTTACCTCCACATAGCTACACGTAGCATTGATATAAAGGCAAATACTCTCATGATAGCATCGTACTCCACTTTCACATCTTTCTTTTTACGTCCCCCCCCCCCTCCTGCCTGACAGGGAGAGTCTCTTGCAGTGACGTGCAGATCAGAAGACTATCAGGAGCAGAAACAAACAAACCTTCCTGAAAAGTCTCTGGCTGCCCCCTCCTGCAGACGTCGGGTAATAGATGTAGACGTTGTGATCCTCAGCGCACACTGGCTTCTCCACAAACGGCTTCTGGAAAATCTCTCCATTCACCTCCACGTGGTCCTCTCCCTCCACCAGGTTACACTCTGAGACACAGACACACACAGCTCTTCAGACTCTGATTAACAACAGGATATTCTTGTCTCTAACTGATCTCTAAGACTGCGAGCTCAGGAGGAACTTGCGTTGTCTTGTGTGCATGTTACATTTACTTTAGTAGGTTATTGGATACGTGCTTTTACTAATACTTTTTTTTTTTTTGGAACATTGTTTTGTCTGCTTCATGTCTGCCCTGCATGATATAAATTTTTTATATTAACCAAATGCTGCTTTATGTGTATCCTGCGTGGTTTATGTACTTTCTCCTGTGGCTGCTTACCTGTCTGCTTATTTACTGTCATGATATTTCTATTTTTGTAGCTTTTAGTGATGTTTGAATTTGTTTTTTTTTTTAGAGAGCCTTTTATAAAATCTGGCCAGGGACAACAGATGAAAATTAGCCTTTTGGCAAACTCTGGCATGTTTCCTGAAATGTTTATTAATATGCAATGTCCCTGTAAAATAAAAATTAAAAAATAAACTAAAACCTTCACAGTTCATTCCCAGAGTTGTGAACAATGAGTGAATGTTGGAATATTAAAGATGAGACGGACCGTCAGGTTTGTCTGGGTCTCTGTTCAGCACAGCGTAGCGTGGTAGATCAATCCCCTCCTCCTGCAGGATACGATACACCTCCCTCCTGTGGACACACACATACTGTACATGACTTACTACCACCACAGGGCCTCGTTAGACATCTGAGAGTTAGACTGTGAGGCAGAATATCACCACATGATAATACATAAGATGTTATTTCATACATGCTGCAGCATGCTGCACCTCCCTGTAGAGTTCAGGTGTGTCTCTTACCTGTCCAGTATGTAGTACTGCATGTTCAGGTGTGTCTCTTACCTGTCCTGTATGTAGTACTGCATGTTCAGGTGTGTCTCTTACCTGTCCTGTATGTAGTACTGCATGTTCAGGTGTGTCTCTTACCTGTCCAGTATGTAGTACTGCATGTTCAGGTGTGTCTCTTACCTGTCCTGTATGTAGTACTGCATGTTCAGGTGTGTCTCTTACCTGTCCTGTATGTAGTACTGCATGTTCAGGTGTGTCTCTTACCTGTCCTGTACGTAGTACTGCATGTTCAGGTGTGTCTCTTACCTGTCCTGTACGTAGTACTGCATGTTCAGGTGTGTCTCTTTCCTGTCCTGTATGTAGTACTGCATGTTCAGGTGTGTCTCTTACCTGTCCTGTATGTAGTACTGCATGTTCAGGTCGTTGATGAGCAGAGGGTTTCTCAGTTTGGCGTAGCTCACAGCTTTATCCAGAGGAAATCCTGTTTACATACAGAGGAAACGTTAAAATATAACCTTTATATGTGAGTGTGTGTGTGTGTGTGTGTGTGTATGTGTGTGTGTGTGAGTGAGTGGGAGAATGTGTGTGTGTGCGTGTGTTTGTATGTGAGTGTGAGTATGTGTGTGTGTGTCTGTGTGTGAGTGTCTGTGTCTATGTGTGTGTCTATGTGTGTGTCTGTGTGTGTCTGTGTGTGAGTCTGTGTGTACCTTTGGAGTGGAAGGAGATGAGGCAGTCACACAGAGGCCATTTGTCCACAGACTCGTTGAGGATGGCGTCCTCAGGGAAGATGACCACGGTGATGTACTCGAACCTGCACAGCCTCTCCAGGATCTGGGTCATCGGCTTGGACTTGGACTTCTTCATCATGCAGCAGATCCCCACCACGATCTGTCGCTCCGGGGGCTGGGGGGACAGAGAGACCGTAGTGTCTTTAACACGTTGGAGAGAGCTTCAAGAAACAGGCTGCAGATCAGACACAGAGCTGGTTAAGACTGTACACTGTGTGTGTTTAACATCATGCAGTTACACTCAGAGACCTTCGGGGGGGCGCCACAGTGCAGCAGACTGAATTCCTCTCTGATGTTGCCTTAAAAAAATATGCTGTGAGGTCATGTTTGCTCACCGAGTCGGTGTCCTCGTCGTCCTCGTACAGCTCCATGTCTGTCCTCATGCTGTCTTCCAGGACCTCGCTCTCATCGTCCTCGCAGCCCACGAAGAATCTGGGAGCGCCACGCCGGCTCTCGCCCGGGCTGCTGGGCTCTGACATCACAGTCCCCCGCGGCAGCCCTCAGCGTCCCACCACGCCATCCTACACCAACACGCCGTCGCAGGGGGCCACCAACAGGAGGCCGCCAGTGGGGAGGGAGGAGTGGGCTCTGCTGAGCGGGACAGCAGAGACACTGGGATGAAAGCGTGAGGAAAAAGAGCAGTGGCAGGAGGAGGGAGGAGCTACGCGAGGGAGGATGATGTCGTCAAGCCAGTTTGTGTGACGGAGAGTGCATCAACTTTGCGGCGAGGTTAGGACAAGTTCACAGTCGACTGCCACTCCTACAGGACGAGAAGAAGACAAACATTATGCCTGATGTTTCTGTATAAAAACACTAACGTTACAGCTGATGTTTCTGTATAAAACACTAACATTACACCTGATGTTTCTGTATAAAAACACTAACGTTACACCTGATATTTCAGTATAAAACCACTAACGTTACACCTGATGTTTCTGTATAAAAACACTAACATCACACCTGATATTTCTGTATAAAAACACTAACATCACACCTGATATTTCTGTATAAAAACACTAACATCACAGCTTATGTTTCTGTATAAAAACACTTGACTCTAGTTGGAGAGGATCGATGTTTTTAACTGGACGAAGCTAATAACTCACATTTTAAGCAATGACGAGCTTAAACAAAACATCTGGTAATTAAAATGTTTCTCGACTGACTAAAAAAGCAAGGAGAGGTGATATCAAAACGTTATTTTGTCGTTCTGTTTTTGGCGTTAAAAACATGTCAGGCTAATGTTAGCTGACGTTAGCATCGAGCTAACCTCCCGGCGGCAGGTCGGACAGTGTAAACAAGTCGTCCATTTTGTCTGCGTCACAGTCACACAGTGTAAAGTATGTTCCGTTAAACATGTTCCCGCTCACACCAGGCCGTGGTGATTATATATTCATGTCATTAAATAATATCTTTAAATGATGAACTCACGGAGTTTGTGGAGACTCTCCTCCGCTGCTCTCTCTTCGCTTCCTGGCTCTTCTATGTCAAAACCTCTCTCAGCGTTCAGCTCTGACGCACGCGCCATCAACGTCTGAAACAACCAATGAGAGAGGAGTATGAAGTAAAGAGGGCGTGAAATAAAAACCACACGAACCAATATGCGTTGAGCAAAGTCAGGCCGCTTTCACTACTGGAACTAAATGAAGACAGCGGCCTCTGGTAGTTCAAATGGGACGTGCATGCAACAAAGAGAGTGGGCTCTGCTGGTAAATAAATATTAAGCGTCTTTATTGAAAATTTTCCGCTGCATCATAGTTATAATAAACATTTGACATAAATTATGGAGCTCTAAGCTGTTTTCAGTCACAACTAATTGTATGTGTTTTATACCTCTTTCATTAGATATATTGATTATTTGAAGCACATGATTAAGGTTAGAACAGTCTTTTGGGGATAAAACAGTTAATTCATAATAATTTTATTGTCATTCAGATTTTAAACCATCTGTTACATAATAACATATTTATCATCATGTTTGGCTCAGCTTTTTTGCGCTATTGTCTTATTCAGCATAGTATCTGCTTATTTTAAGTTTCTATTTAATGTTTTAGTTTTGCACATAGCACAGTTCACCAAAGTCAAATTCCTTGTATGAGTGAGTGTGAGCCTACCTGGCCAATAAAGCTGATTCTGATTCTGATGTACATGCATGTATACATACCAGAGGTGTCAAGTAACTAAGTACAAATACTTTGTTACCTTACTTAAGTAGAATTTTATCTATACTTTATTGGAGTAATTATTTTTCAGCCAACTTTTTAATTCTACTTCTTACATTTTCACACAATTATCTGTACTTTCTACTCCTTACATTTTAAAAATAGCCTCGTTGCTCCTATTTCATTCCGGCTTGTCATCGTTCAAAAAAACACACACAAAAAAACCCTATACAGATAAATCGCGCCATCTGGCACGAGTACTTTTACACTTTTACTTGAGTAAAAAGCTTGAATTGATACTTCAACTTCTACAGAAGTCTTTTTAAACCCTAGTATGTATACTTCTACCTGAGTAATGAATGTCAATACTTTTGACACCTCTGATACACGCCCGCCTGGACTGTACTTTTGGGGGCGGCAGTATCTCAGTCTATAGGGACTTGGGTTGGGAGCTGGAAAGTCACTGGTTCAAGTCCTGGTGCAGACCAAATCTGGAAACTGATCTGGCAGCTGGAGAGGTGCAGACAGAACTCCTGCACCAGCTCAGGAGCGCCCCCTGTGGGCAGCCCCCTCACCCTGACATCTCTCCATTGGATGTGCTGTCCATATGAACGTATCAATCACTGGTTTGTGTGGAGAACTGTAGGATAATGTTGAACACAGGGCGTGGATCTTTATTTTCCACCTCTAGCTCCACCCCCTCCAGGAGAAAGTATTACTGCAGCTCTGTAACCTCCTGCTTCGCTTCAATGGTTTCTGTGTCTGTTTCATCAACAGGAAGTTCAGCGGAGGGCGCTCCCTCTCAAACTGAGCGTGTCATTACAGGTGGCCCTGCCCACCTTCAGAAGAATGAGGAGAGTCAGCGGAGCAAAACACCCGCCAACGGCCAACACTGACGTCAGCCTGTTTCTAAACCACAGTTTATATACAGCTCACACACACACACACACACACACACACACACACACACACACACACACACACACACAGATACACACACACAAACACACACACACACACACACACACACACACACACACACACACACACACACTGACACACACCCACTCACGCATGCACACACTCAAACACACACACACACACGCGCCACAGAGAGGGTCCTTGGTGGTTACTTCCTGTAGGTCGAGGTCGGTTCATTAGAGACTGAACACAAGCGAACAGAGAGTGTGTGTGTGTGTGTCTCTTCAAGTGGTCTCTGAACGGTTGTTTAGTCCACAGCAGAGTTTGATTGACAGCTTTCACACCAGCACAAACAAACTTAAGTTAGTCTTAACAGAAGCGGTTAGGAGTGAATTCATTAAGATGGCGCGGCTGTGTCCAGACGCCGTCCGGGTTGCTCCGCTGAGGCTGTGTGTTTTTTTCTTTAATTATGTTGTTTTTGTGAACTTTTTTACATCAGCTCTTTCAGCAAAGATAACTTATGACCGAAATACGCTTTTGGACATAAAGGGACTGGTCACAAACACAGTTTCCAGCTGTTACAACGATGATCAGTGGTTGCCGGTCGAACTCCTGCGTAACACAACACAGGACGGGAACAATGGCTGGAGGAGGAAAAAGCATCGCGGAAGACGAGGTGGTGTCCGAAACAGGCTAAGAACTCAGGCCCACCACCCACCCCTGCCAAGCATCCTTCTTGCCAACGTCCAGTCCCTGGATAACAAGATGGATGATCTGAGGGGTCGGGTAAAATACCAACGAGACATGAGGGACTGTAACATCATCTGCCTGACGGAAACATGGCTCACTCCTGTGGTGCCGGATCAAGCCATCATGCCATTGGACTCGTTCTCTGTGTTTCACAAGGACAGGACGGAGTAATCTGGCAAGTCAAAGGGTGGAGGGGGATGTTTTATGACCAACAACAGCTGGTGTAACCCACAGAACATTAAAACTCTCTCCCACTCCTGCTCGCCACATCTGGAGCACCTAACCATCCTGTGCCGTCCATTTCACCTCCCCCGGGAATTCACCTCAGTCATTGCTACATCTGTTTACATTCCACCACAAGCGGACACGGACACAGCTTTATCAGATCTGCATGACATGCTGTGCAAACAAACATCCGAATGCTGGCCTCATCGTGGCTGGTGATTTTAACAAGGCGAACCTTAAGAAAGTTATGCAGAACTTTTTCCAACACGTCACTTGCTCCACCAGGGGCAACAATACACTGAATCATTGCTACACGCCATTCAAAGAGGGCTACAAGGCGACTTCCCTGCCCCCACTGGGTAAATCAGACCATTGCCTGCCAAAGTACAAACAGACTATTGCACGTGAAAAGGTGGTGACGAGGCAGGTTAGGCTCTAGAATGACCAATCAGAGGCTACGCTGCAAGACGCTCTGGATGACGTCGACTGGGGCATGTTCCAATCCAGCTCGAGTGACGTAGACGAGTTTACGGAAGTTGTGACGGACTTCATAGCAACGCTGGTAGACAATGCCGTTCCTATGGTGTCTGTCTGGTTTTTCCCAAACCAGAAGCCATGGGTGGATAAATCTATCTGCACCGCTGTGAACGAACGGACCACTTCATACAACTCGTCACTTCTCACCGGCAGGACGGAGGAATACAAAGCAGCATCTTACAGACTGAGACGAGCAGTGAAAGACACTAAGCGGAGGTACAGGGACAAAGTGGAATCACAGTTCCAGCAGCGTGATTCAAGGAGCTTGTGGCAAGGACTGCAGACAATTACTGACTGCAGGAAAAGAACCCATGTCTCGGTGAGTGCAGACGCCGCTCTGGCTGACGAACTGAATGACTTTTATGCGCGACTCGAGGCTAACGCTAGCACCGCTAACGTTAGCATGCCAGCCAGCAGGATCTCCGAGGCCGGAGCGGCACACTCGCACCCGCTCACTGTGTCAGAGCACGACGTGAGGAGGACACTGAAAAAGGTAAACCACCAGGAAGGCTGCCGGGCCAGATGGTATTTCTGGCAGAAAGCTGAAGTCCTGTGCCGACCTGTTAGCTCCAGTGTCATCTCAACCTCTACCTGAGTCAGTCTGTGGTCCCCACATGCCTGAAAAAAGCCATTATAGTCCCTGTACCGAAGAATGCCTCTCCAGCTTGCCTTAATGACTATCGCCCAGTAGCACTCACCTCTGAAGTGATAAAGTGCTTTGAGAGACTCATCAAGATGCAAATCTGCTCCTTGCTCCCTGAGTCTCTGGATCCACTTCAGTTCGCATACAGACTGAACAGGTCCACAGATGATGCTGTCTCCCAGGTACTGCACACCACCCTCACCCTTCTGGACAGAAGGAAGGGGGACTATGTAAGACTGCTGTTCATTGATTTTAGTTCAGCTTTCAACACCATAGTTCCCGCCAACCTCCATTCCAAACTGATCAACCTTGGACTTAACACCTCCCTGTGTGCTTGGATCCTGGACTTCCTGACGAACAGATCCCAGGTGGTCAAAGTGGGCAGACACACCTCCAGCCCCTGCACCATCAACACCGGAGCACCACAGGGCTGTGTCCTCAGCCCCCTGCTCTTCACCCTGTACACACATGACTGTGTGGCCACAAGCAGCTCCAACATCATCATGAAATTTGCTGATGACACGGTAGTTGTTGGTTGCATCAGCAACAATGATGAGCAGACATATACAGGGGAGGTTGGAAACCTGTCACAGTGGTGCCAGGACAACAACCTGCTCCTGAACGTCAACAAAACCAAAGAGCTGATTGTGGACTTCAGGAGAGGACTGCAGAGGGATTACACCCCACTGAGAATTGATGGGACGCTGGTGGACAGGGTGTGAAGCTTCAAGTACCTGGGGGTGCACATCTCTGAGGATTTAACGTAGATGTTGTGCCCTGAAAAAGGGTAAAATGAATAAATGGACTCAAGACACGATGCTTCCTCCGTCAGCGTCATGCAGAATGATTTAATTTATCTTTTTTCAAAATGATCCACATAGTCACAATGGTGCTTCCTTTTAACATTTCTTTTCACAGGCAAATATGAAACATAACAGGTAAGTACAATAAAATAAAATGATCAACTGTGTTGAAAATACAAACAAAAATATCCTGTTTATCACTTTGCTTCATATTTCTTTCTTTAATTTCTCATTCTTCTGTTGAACAATTTCTTCCTAACAAAAAAGATATATATGCTCACCGACACGATTAAACATGAATATTCTCAACCATGACTATTCTTATAAACACTTGCAGATTCTTAATAATCTTAATATGCACATACATCCAGACCTACACACACGCTCATGCCAATACTGACCTCGTGTGGTGACGTGTGCACGACATACAACACGGAGCTAACCTAGCTTAGTGTCTCACTGAACTTCCATCAAATG